GATGGATGGATGGATGGATGGATGGATGGATGGATGGATGGATGGATGGATGGATGGATGGATGGATGGATGGATGGATGGATGGATGGATGGATAGATAGATAGATAGATAGATAGATAGATAGATAGATAGATAGATAGATAGATAGATAGATAGATAGATAGATAGATAGATAGATAGATAGATAGATAGATAGATAGATAGATAGATAATTAGAGTATAATCCACATTTGTATTTGGAAAACAGGAAAAACACAATTGCACTGACTGTTTTCTTCATATCCTCTCATAACCCTCATAGGGAGCAAATAGTACAGGGCAGAATTAATCCCCTCACCCTCTCTTTACAAACACTTTCATTTATTTCTCTTGCAATCTTTCAAATGTTGGTGAAAATGACTGGGTTTCCAAGGTAAGACCGGTCAAGGGTTATAGGTCCCAGCCCAAGGGAGGACGGAAGGAAGAAAGGCGGCTTTGCTGCGGCAGTCAGGGTTCCCCCCACGGCTTCCCTTTTCCCCCAAATCTAGGTGCCCACGAGGTGCCCCACAGTGAAGAGCAAGAGAGTAAGCAGTGAGGGGACCCCCCGCTCAGCATTCTGCAGCACAGCTCACAGCGCTTAGGAGCTGGCATGCTCTCTGTCAAGTGACTCAGTTCCCTGCTGCAGATCACTTTTGACTTACGGAGGAAGCTTGTGCTCCTCACATGCACAAAGCAACATGCCCTTTACCCGGGAGAAAGAGCAGACAGCAAGACCCATTTCTCCATCCTCAAGCATTTTCTCCCTCCTCTCTTGCTCCTCCTTCCTCAGATGAGTCATTCCGTCTGCAACCTTCTTTTCCAAGCCATCCCTCCTCGTCTTCTGTGTCAAATGAAAAGCCTTTCCCCCGGTTGGTAAGGAAGCAAGACCCAGAAGGAGACAACTCTTAACGTGCCACTCTGGCAAGCAAGGGCAGAGGGTTAGAGAGGGATCCCCCTGCTGTCATTCAAACCCTCCTCCACCCACCCCCCTCGTGCCTCATCAACTGCACCACTCTCGGGCATCCAGTGGGGAGCACCAATGCACGGAAAATCAAGAGGGAGAGTTTTGCCTCTGCAAGCCATGCCAGGGGCAGATTCCAACCCATGGAAGCCTCACCTCCTGGCAAAACTCATGTGCCCCCTTTATCATTTGTAGAACTGCCCGTGGATGCTCCTCGGGACACGACTTCGAAACAGAATTCGTATGCGGTGGGGGGAGGGATCCGATTGTATTTTCAATTACACCTGTTTGCTCAGCACCGATACAAGCATCTCTGCTGCTGCTTGGAAAAGGCTATCAAAAATAAATAACCCACAAAAAAAAAACCCACACAGCCCTTTCTTAGGAAGGACCGAAGAATGGACACAAATAAGAGGTTTCCACTGTTGCTGTTTTCAGGGCAGTAACCCAAAAAAAAAAAAAAAAACCACACAGCCCTTTCTTAGGAAGGACGGAAGAATGGATACAAATAAGAGGTTTCCACTGTTGATGTTTTCAGGGCATGAACTTGATAGAAATATCACTCATTGTCACTCATCTTTCCGGCCAAACAAGTTTTGTCGGTTTCTACCCTGTTCCCCAAATATCCAAAATGTGTTTAAACTGAAGGGACCGAAGGACAAGAGGAAAGTGTACATGTGCTGCAGGCAACAGGGTTTCCATCACACTACCACCTCAAATACGACCAGCCTTCTCCAAACTGAGGATACATTCCAGACTCTGGATTGGTCTAAGTAAGCATCCCCAGATGATTCCCTGTTTAAAAGCATCAGCAAGCCAATTCTGAGTTTGGAAAGGACATGCAAGCCAATTCTGAGTAAAGGTTAGGAGAAACAAGTACCTTACTAAACTAGAAGCCTTGGGGACAGGGCATGAGTTTTACACTCAGGAGGTCCAAGGTTCATCAAACCACTTAGGAGAATTAAAAAGATCAGCAAGCCAATTCTGAGTAATGGGCCACAGACACAAAAACCTTACTAAACATAAACCTTGGATTTCTTTTCAGTGGCAAAAACAGAAGTCCAAGGTTCAGTCCATGGAATCTGATCTGCCTAAGACCCTGATGAGATACTACCAGCCAGAACAAACATTTAGACTTAAGAAACATACCTAACTCAACTGCTGGATAGCTCGGTGGTTTAGGTAAATAACTGCCTTTGGAGCCAGAGGTTGGGAGTTCGATTCCCCACTGGGCCTCCCCGAGACAGGCTGATCTTGATGACCCATAGGGTCCCTTCCAGCTGTGCAGTTCTAACCTTATTTTCAGCATCTATAATTTTCAGTGCAGCTTTGCAAAGCCCATCCAATATCTCATGGATATGCTTTCTTGCAATGAACCTGCACAGCAGATTTAAGATGGAAAGACATGCCCCTGGACCATGTTAGTAGCATTTAGTACCAGTTAAAAACACCCAAATATCAAATCCAGTAATTTCAACTACAGATAAAACGTTGCTGGATCAGCATTACCTATCTCAGGCTGTTTTTTACACACAAGGCGTTGAGAGATGGCTGAGTTGCCACCTCTGAAATCTGAAACCAACACACAATACTGATGCAAAGGTGCAGGTGAGACCATGTACTTATCTGCTTTCTATCTTGCATTAAAGATATTCCACCTATGTGCTCAAAGAAGCACAGCAAAATGTCCTGAGACATTCTCATATCTCATAGGTGAAAAAACCCATACAGCCTTGTGTGTTTTTTTAATCCTTTTCAGACTCTCCAGATTACCTGAAATTGGGATTTCTCATTAGAGAACTGGGTCCAGTTGCAACCTTTAAAAAAAACAAACAAACACACAAACCAAAACTTGATTTTGCTCCCCCGCTCGTTAACGCCAGCCTTGCAGAAATTTAGCCCATGATTCACTTCCTAGCATGGAAAGGAAGAGTGAGCCAATGTTTACTGACTAATTCTCAGTACTTCAGATTACTGGAAAAGGAACACAGTTAAAATCTGGCGACCATGCCCGCCAAAAAACCTTGCTTTGTATCTCGTCTAAACCACTTCTAATATTCTCCACCTGGAAAACCCTGGAAAGGATCGCCATACTTCAGGATTGACTTGAGTGGCTTATTATTATTATTATTATTATTAATATAGCATAGCCCAAAGTAGAAAAATTGCAGGAACGTCCCAGGGAGAAGCACACAGCATTTGTGATGCACGGGGCTGCTTGGCCCATTTCTGGGTTCCTTGACACAGGGGTGCTGCTGGATCACGGCTGGCACACAGGAGAAAAGTGTATGCCCAACCATGCATGCAGAACTTAGTTGGCGAGCTCAAAATAAGAAAATCTTCCTGTTCTGCTCCCGAGGTTCCAAGAACCAAGTCCAAAGAGGCAGGCGGCAGGCGGCAGAGGGCCCGA